TTCAGTTCGTTCAAGTTCATGCCAATATGATCCCCCCTGGCCACAGACTCCCTGCCCTGGGCTGAGCACAGCCCCCCAGAGAGAAAGAGAGAGAGAGAGAGAGAGAGAGATGTCAGGACAGATCCACTGGGCGCGGGCGAGTGGGGAGAGGAGACTTCAGCTGCATTGGGTTTCACATCACTGAACCAGTCTGGGCACTTAATGGGATTCTCTAACCCAGCCTTGGGGCTACTGGCAGTGCCTCTCTGGTTTCGGCATGGTGGCTTTAGCTCATAACTTCCCTCGGAGTTAAAACCCTGAGTATGAGCACCATCTTCAAGTCCATCCCAGAAGAGGTGGGGAAGGCTGAGCTGTAACCATCGCATTTTTTAATAGCCTGATAACAAGCGGTCTGAGACAGGCAGAGTTGGTGGTTGGCCAGCGTGCTGACCGCAGGCGCAGGCTCCCTGCAGACTGCATTCCGGGGCTTCAAGTGTCATCTCTCTCGAGCCGCATGTGTTTACCCTTTGCACACTCCACTTCTCTCTCTTCGACCTGGTGGGGGTGGGAAGACGAAACCAAGGCCACTTCAAGATTAAGCGCCGGAGACTCCTGCTGGGCTAGGCAGGCTCTTTTTAGCATTTCACATAACCCGCTGGCCTATGCAAAGTTGTCTACAATTCAGAGGTGTATTAGTCTCCTAGGGCTGCCTTAACAAAGTACCACAAACTGGGTGGCTTAAAACAACAGAAGTTTATTCTTTCACAGTTCTGGAGGCTAGAAGTCCAAGACCAAGGTATTGGCAGGGTTATGCTTCATCTGAAACCTCTAAAGAAGAATCCTTCCTTGCCTCTTCCTAGCTTCTGGTGGTTGCCATCAGTCCTTGGTGTTCCTTGGCTCGTGGCAACATAACTCCAGTCTCTGCCTCTCTTCCCATGGCCTTGTCTGTGTCTCTGTCCTCTTCTTACAAGGACATCAGTCATTGGATTTAAGGCCACTGTAGTAGCTGTCCATCTTACACATCTCCTCATGTTCGTCCCCTGCTTCATGCTTCACTGCCCTTCTGCTGCCAAGATGAGTCTGGGACTCCACACTCAATCCGGCTGCTGTCAACTTGTCTAGCTTCATCTCCTACTGCCCACACTTTGTGCTCACACTGTATTAATGGGCGGGGCTGTGACATACTTCTGTCCCTTTGCAAATCCTGTCCCCTCTGCCTGGAGTGCCCTCCCCATTCCTCACCCTTCTGGCCTCTCCATCTGAAAAACTCTTCCTCATCCTGTAAGCCTCCCTGCTTGGTGAGGGCTACCCTGAATGCTGTGGGGAATGTTGACCGTGGCGTTTGGTGCCCAGCTGTGGTCCTTGTGTGTTCTTCTGGCCTAACATCTAACGCATGGATTGCTTTTGTTTTATCAGTGTCCATCTCTCCACCAGACTAAGCTCCTTAAAGGCAGTTTTGAGTCCCCAGCACAGTTACAGATCTAGACAGAAGATCATCCACAGCTGCTGAATGGCTGAGTAAACATGGAAATGCCCTTCAGGGGATAAAGACCGAGTAGCATCTTTTCATCCTTGTATTATATTTCCTACAATGCCTGGTGTGTAGTTGGCTCTCAAATGCTTCCTGTATGGTTTAGCGATTGAATGGAAAAGCCACTATTGGCAGGAATGTGGCGGGAGCAGTGGTTCACTGTTACTAGCAGTCCCATTAGTGTAATGACCTGAGGAAATAAAATTCTCCTGTGCTGTTCTCCTACTCACTCAGGGCTTCTTAAATGAGATTCAGTTGAGGCCAGGGAGGGGGACAAGTGGCACCTTCCATCTTGCTAGTTAATGGAGAGGAAAGGGGAGCCCCTGGCCTGAGGTTCTGTAGCCCCAAATTCTGAGGTAGCGTTGGTAAAGGGCTCAGCCCCAGGACATTGGTAGAGCCGTCTGTGTTCCCAGTTCATTCCTGCAATCAAGAGTGGGGATCATGGTGGTGTTGGGCAGTGGGGGTTGGTAAGGGAGATGTCGCAGGGACTGGGTTCTGGGACTCCCAGACTGAGGCTGACCCAGGCCCTTCTTCATGGAAAAGGAGCCCCTTGCTGGCCTTGTAGCAGAATGAAGGTCCTCTCCAGCGTCAGCCCAGCTCTCTCTGCGGGGAACAAAGCACCTTTATTGTGCGGCTCTCTCTTCTCATCTCCTCATTTTCAGTCATGTGAGCTTCCCTTCTGTGTCCCTCAACAATGCTACTTGTCACTTGAAGCCAGGTAACACTCAAAGGAGGATAACTAGAGTGGGAGTCATCCCTGGCTCTCCAAACTCCCTTTATACTATTTCTTCCACTGATTTCCAAGGCCTTCATCCTTGTTCTCCAGACCATTTTAGCAGGACAAGAGACCCAGCAAATGAATTATTTCATCTACTGGCCCCCTTCCTGGCCCCCTCAGGGAGTGTCTCAAAATTACTCAGCTATTCCACCCTCTGCAGCCTCTCTCCTTCCCCCATCCCAGACAGCCAGACCCTACAGGGATGCGGGGGCAGGACTGGGACTAGGAGAGGCAGCAAAGTGCCCAGGGCCCCCAATTTAAGGCGGCGCTCCCTCTCAGGGCTGTTGTAAGTGCCTCCTTAAATTTTGTGCTCTGGGTGTCTCACCGCAGTCCTAACTTGGTGCTGGGCTGGCGTCTTGATAAAGGGATGGGAGGAGAAAAAGAAATTAAAAGGAGGGTGGAAGAGAGCGTGCTAAGAGGACAAGGTGGGAGATCTGAAGTCAGTGACAGTGAGGAATAAAGGCTGCAGGCAACCAAGGGCAGCGCTTGAACAAGCATCCCCGCAAAGCTCTCTCACACTCAGCCATGGACCCGCCAGACAGATGTCACCCAGAGAACAAGGAGCAACAGGAAAAACAAAACACACTCACTGCTTTCTCATCAGGTTTCCTGAGTTTCTTCGGGGAGGGGGTGGGTAGATGGAGGAGAAATCCCCCAGGTCTCCTCCCTCTGCTTTTACCCCCTCCTCCAACTTAACATCTTTTTCTTGGTGTCACCAACTTCACCTTAGGCATGGTGAGTCAGACTCCTAAAATGCCGGAGCCGAAAGAGCCCTTAGAGATGGGGAGTCCTGCGTGGTAGCCACTAGCCACATGGGGCTTGTGAGCACTTGATACGTGACCAGTCCAAACTGACAAGTGCTGTAGGTATAAAATACACACTGGAGTTTTGAGGACACAGTTGGAAACAAAAGAATGTAAAAGAGCTCATTAATATTTTTAAAAAGATTGATTACATGTTGAAATGATAATGTTTGGGATCTCTTGGGTTAAATAAAATGTATTATTAAAATTAATTCACCTGTTTCTTTTTGCTTCTTTTAGTGTGGCTGCTAGAAAATTTAACATTACATATGTGGCTCGCATTCCTGGCTTGAATTCTAGATCTGTTGGAAAAGGCTGGTCTAGTTCAACTTCCTCCTTTAACATATGAGAAAACTGACGTCCAGAGAGGAGACCTGACTTTAGCAGATGGTACACACTAAAAAGCACTGTCATTTCCTGTTCCCACCAATTTCTCAGTTTCACCTCTACACACACACACACACACACACACACACACCCGGGAGCCCCGGGAAAGGAGCAGGTAGACTTACAGATCCCTTGTCTGTAGACTTCAAGGAAAGTGTTCCAAGGCTTAAGACATTGGCTGTGGTTTCTTGGGAGTGAAATAAAAACCTAACAAAGGTGGAGGCATTGTCTCCAGAAAGTTACGCACATTAGACTTTGGAAACTTGGGGTGTGCAGAGAAGTGAGGAGACCGCTGGGGAAGCCCAGGCCTCCCCCCAATAATTCACATGCATAGTAACACAGGCAGTTACCAGGTGCGCTGATCCTCACCTTAAAAGCACAGAGCCTCCCTCCCCCAAGGCAGTGGGGTAGAGCCTTGCCCAGGCCCTGACACAGAGGGGGCAGCCACTTAAGGATTGTTTGACCAGTAAACAAAGGCAGGTTTCAGTAGGATTGGCTTGATAATGGAAGAGAAGTGGACAGTGGAGGGAGCAGGAACCAGACGCCAAAGGCAAATTCCTTCATTTAATAATTTTATCTGGCGTCCCCATTCTCATCAACTTGCATTGTCAAGGCTTGAAGAGAGGTAGTTAGGGAAGTCGAGAGATAACGCTCTCTCAGCCCTGGGGCAGCACTAATGATGCTCATCAGAGCACAGTTCTGACAAGCACAGCTGGGGAGCTAACCCTGGACCCTGCAAGAAAGTTTTCCTTGGCTTTTACCCAGCTTTGGCTGGGGAGCCCCGAGAAGGGAGGCCCAAGAGGTGGCCACCTCCTCCCTCCTGGAGCCTGGCTTCCCGTCCTGCACTGGGGAGGGGAGAGTGATGGAGAGAGAGGCTAAACTAACGGGAAAAGTTGAGAAAAGCTGGCTTTTCCCATGCAGGGGAGGCAGGGTCACTTGGGGTCAGCTCTCCATCCTATTCACACACACACACATACACACACACACACACACACACACACAGGGGTCAGCTCTCCGACCTATTCTCACACACACACACATACACACACACCCTGTGGCATTAACAGAGGAGCTTCAACCTGGCTAGCCCTTGCCCTTGTCGGACAGGAGTGCCCGGCGGGGAGGGCGGGTGTGGCTCCTACCCGGAGGTGACAGCCTGCATCACTGATAAGGAGCGGTCCCCTCTGGCCCCTATAACCCATTGTTCTGGGACCAGCGCGCGCCTGCCTCTCCGAGGAGTCGAAGCGCTGGGCAGGGCCGAGGTGGGTCCCCTCCCCACCACCTATTTTAGAGGTGACTGTGCCGTTGACGTCAGGCGGCTTTGGGTTCATTCCTGGCTCGGGGACTCTATTTTCATAACTGCACGCAGTCCCGTGGAACTGGAATAGGCGTGTCCTCTCCCCCTGACCCTCTCCCGCCCCTTGTCCCTCCGCTCACCCCCTCGCTCGCTCCCTCCCTCCGACGACAGGCGCCTTTATAACGGCTGCACGCGGCGAGGGCGGGATCTCTGTCCGCAGGCTCCCCCGAGCAGCCTCTTACGCGCGGGAAGCAGCGCAAATTCACGGACCAAAGAGAAGGCGCCAGGGTAAGTGAGGCGCACCGAGCCCCGAGCGCGCCCGGCCTCTGGATTTAAATCCTGGGGGGAGTGCGGCGTTGGGAGGGGCGGGATGCAAGAGGAGGGAAATCCTGGTCATGGGGCTACAGCTGGCTATGAGAAAAAAAGTTCCAAGAAAGAAATTCATGTAGTTTAACTCAACTCAGAAGTTTTTTCCTCGGCTTCCCGGGGTAAGATAGAGGCGGAAAGCTCCAAGATAATCAGGATGATGGTTTCTGCTCAGACACATTGTACAAACTCTCAGTAGATGGAATCCTGGCCAGGCGGGTGAACAGTTCTGGGATCATTCTAGAGGAAAAGAGGGAGACAGATCTTGGAGGAAGGGAAGGGACTGGGGTGCAGAGGGGTGTGATGGGGGGGCGGGCAGGAGGAGGGAGATGCTGACACCTGTTACTTTACCCTCAGATACTGAAAAGTTTCGATTTATTTTATCCTTCCACAACAAGCCTGCCGTTCTGAATTTTGGGAAGTAGGTTCTAGAAGCCACCCCTTCCCTTGAGGTGAGGTGGGGCGATCAGGTACAGCATTCCCTCCTCTGCTGTTCCTTGAGTTGCTCAGGAAACCCGGGCAGATGGAAGCTAGATAGGACTTGGGAATGGCCCCAAAGGTCTCCAAGATGGTCCCTTAAACATCCACGAGGGAAGGACGGGCTAGCACTCAGGGGAAGCCTGCTCAGGATCGAGGAATTTGAAGGACTTTCCATGCCTGACTTCTTTCCAGGCTGCTTTCTTCCTCAGAGGGTTTGTAAACACCACACCTGTTGCAGGGTTTGGTAGAATCAGCCACTGCTGTGGGCTTGTTCTGAAGGGGAATACATGCACCACTTCAGATACAGTGGGCCGGAACCCCACCCTCCAGGTCTGTGTGCTGGCTGCTACTAGGAGAGGGAAGGAATGAGGGGCAGGAAGGGTCAGCAGAGGTGTTACCTAGGACACAGAAAGGCTCCTCCCAAAATGTGGAGAGGTGTATGCTCCAAGGGTAGATCAGAATGAGCAGAACTCAGAATGATCAGAACATTCCTGGGAAGAGCTCTCAACCTGGAGTCAGGAAGCCTGATTTCCATCCTGGCTCTGCAGGACCATGTAACTGTGAGGAGGCAAGGGCCTGGGCCTTGAGTTCCACCTAAAGACTCTTGTAAAGACCCCCAGCCCCTTTCCAGGATTGAGATTCTAGCCCCTCTGTATCTGCACGTGTACCCTTTAGAGTCCTCTTTGGAGCTGGCTTCTTTGTATTCCACTCCTTCCTGGGAATTGAAGATAACAGGGTGTGAAGAAAAATTTTGACTGTGTGATTTTATTCTTCTCATTCTGGGAGTTTGTCTTCAGGTCCACTGCTATTTAAAAATCCACTGAGTGAGTTGAGGAAATGGACAGGAAATGATGTGTTGGTATAAGAGGACCTTTAAAAACAATGAATTGAATAGTATTTTCACTTGAGGGGGCTCAGATTTTCTAAGTAGTGCGGTGTGTTCATTTCTACTTTTATCCCTATTTTTATTGCCTTGTGGTCAGGATATATAGTCTATACATTTCTTATTTTGGAATTTTAGATTTTTTTTGTGATCTAAAATATGCTTTTTTTGTAAATGATCCATGACCACTTCAATAGAAGCAGTCCTATAGAGCAGGGGTCAGTAAACTAGGTCCTTGGCCAAAAACATCCTACAGCCTCTTTTTGTAAATAAAATTTTATCTAAACACAGCATGCTCATTTGTCTATGTATTATCTGTAGCTGCTTTCAGCTACAAATGTATGACCTGCAAAGCCTAAACTACTTATTATCTACCCTTTACAGAAAATGTTTGCTGATCACAGATAGAGAGGATCTGAATTATATGATTAATAATGGAGATCTAATAAGATATGAAGATAGAGAATATTTCGATCAAAGTATCCATAGAATATTTATAAAAAATTACCATATTATTCGTTTTGTTTATTTCATCTGCTGAGAACTGATAAAGAAGTGTTAAAGTCTCCCATAAATATAGTATTTCTTTTTATTTCTCTTTGTATTTCTGGTGGTTTTTGTTTTTTGTATTTTGGTGCTATATTATTCAGTGCATAAAAGTTTATGATGGTTGTATCTTTAATGTGGCGTATCCCTAATTATTATAAAGCAAGCTTTTTGGTCCATATAATACCTTTTTGCCTTGACTAAACTTGTGTGATATTAATACTTCAACTCTTAATTTTCTTACCTTGAGCAAGCTATTTAACTTTGTACCTGATACATAATGCCTGCTAAATAAACATTATCTATTATTATTGCTTTTTTTGCATTTATTTTAATTTTTTCTTCCTTTTGCTTTCAACTTTTCTGAATCCTGTTGTTTTGGGTGAGGTTCTTATATGTATAGTATAGTTTAATTTAGTCTTTTTTCAAAATAAAAAAGTAACCATTTACATTTATTGTAATAATAGTTACTTGCTGTTGTCATCTAATTTTTGGCCATGTGGCCTGCTCTCTCCATCTTCTCCCACATTAAATAGGCTATATTGTATTTTTAGATCTACTAGGCCTGAGTGGATGGCAGTGCCATTCTCAGGGATTAGAAATACAGGCTTGTAAGGAGAGATGGTAAGTTTAGCTTTGGACTTGTTGGATCAAACATGAATATGTTACCTTTATATGTTGAAATAAAATAACTTAAAGGAACGTGTGTTTGAGAGCTTTGAGATGGTATACCAGTAGAGGACTTTACTTTATCTACCTATTTTCTGGAAATTTCATTTTTTAAAATTCTAGGCCTAAGAGATTTGGAAGTTTCACTCAAAATCTTAAGTTTTTTAAGAAAATAATTTCCAGTATTTTATTTTATATTGCAGTAATTTATTTTACATTAATCTAAAATTCACATGCTTTGTTTGGAATAGAGAAAGATGGCAATACCCCCAGGGAACTACCCCAAAGTGAAAAAATTAGGATGAACACTGTTGCTATACTTGTATAGATCTGCCTGTGGTGGTGTGATGATTTATTTTCTCTCAGTTACTACATAGAAACTCAATTCAGTGATGTTATTCAGATATTATTCATAAGCTGTTGCCATGATGCGTCACTTTTATGTCATCAGAATTCGGATGGCTACCCAGAACAGGGGATTCTGGAGATTTCCCTGTAGACATTTTCCATTTATTCTGTGGACTCCACCCTTGTCTTAGAATTCAGTCTAGATAAAACTATGAGGATTGGCATCAGCACATATTAATCTTCAAAAATTCTTCCTCCCCATTACTCACACTTGCTAATAAATAATTGCTTTGAATAAATATTCAGCAGTCAGTCTTAGTCCAGAATATTTGCTCCGCAGCCACTGTGCAGAGCACATAGTGAGGGGATACCAACAAATAGAAGGTTTGCTCTGTTTCCTTAGGAAGCTTGTTATCTGATAGGCGACTCAGCACTGATATTTATGTATAATATATAACACGTATATGGAAAAACTTGGTGCCAAGAAGTACTTAGTAAAAACTGTGAAGAGACCCACAAATTTAGAATGAGATGGGACTAATAATTTAAAAAAACCTCAAGATAGAGGTAAGTTTTGGGCCAAGTTTTGAAGAAATCTGGTAAGTGGATTGCCACTAGGAGGGGAAGGGTCTGTCTGGCTGGGAGCATAATACATGTGCTCAGGCAAAGAGCATGATTTTGTTGGAAAAGGCCTTAGATGAGCCCAGTTCCCTTCCAGTTGGAAAATACTCTCGGGAGGTTTGCTGGCCTTGCATAGAGGTGGAGGGGGAGTTAGGGAGGCCGGAGGAGATGGGTGGGAGGACTAGTTGGAGAAAAGCCTTGAAGCTCAATTTCAGGTTGATCTATTATAACAGACAAAAAGGGGCTAATATGCTTTTTAACTGCTGAATCCAAAGATCCCATCCCAGGCCTTCTTTTCTCTGTTCCCCTCAGAACGTTTAACTCCATCAACCTCTTTTTTTTTTTGGCACCTGCTCTGTGGCTTCTGGGAAACCACCTGGGTTTGCTTCTTTTACTTAACTCGGACAATTTCTTTTTAACGTCCTTTGCTGACTCCTGCTTCCATGAGATGGTGTCCCCATGCATTTGTCCTTGCCCTCTCGCTCACCGTATGTGCTCCCTGTGCTATCTGGTCTCCTCTAGAGGCTTCAGATACCTCCTATGGGCCCAACCTGTGCTTATAGCCCAAACCCCTCGTGAGCCTCCGACTCGCGCGGCCAAGTGCAGAGGGTCAGTGCTACCTGGTGTCTAGGAGCCTGCATTTTAAGAGCCATGTGGTCTTGGGCACGTTATTTACCTTCTCTGTGCCTCAGTTTCCTCAGCTGTCAGAAGAGGACATGATAATAGAGTTGTTGTGGGGATTAAATGAAACCGTGTGTGGCCCAGAGTAAGCTCTCAGGAGAACTTAGCGCTTGTTATTTCGGCACACCTCCAATTGCCTGTTCCATATGCATCTTAGGTTCAACAAAGCTGAACTTGGTATCTCTCCTCACAAGCCTGTATTTCTAAGCTCCTTTCAGTTGCCTAAGTCAGAAATCTGGGAATAACTTGGACTCCTTCATTCCCCAAGCCCTGTCTCTTCTGCCTTCCTAAAAATCTCCCACCCTTACCTGTCCATCTTTCATGGCTCATCTCCCTTGTCTCCTCTCTAAAGCTTTTTTTTTTTTTTTCTCTGTTAGGTAGAATAGGTCACTGTTTTCCATGCCCTCAGCATTCCCTGCACACTTTGTAACTCCTTATTTGTATGTAAATGTGACTCTATTGGTCCCCTCAGGGGCAGCAGCCACACTTTTGGTCTGTGTGACTTGTATACTTGACATAGTACCTGACACAAAGTCTGCACTTAAATGTTTGTTGATTGACAGAAAGATTGACTGAATGTAGGACTGCTTGCTTTGGAGACTTCTTGGAGAAGATGGTTTGAATAAAGAGAGGCTGGAGTCAGGGAGAAAAGCTTCAGAGATCATAACAGTGATTTAGAGATAAAATGAAAGAT